AAGTAACTAAGTAATTAATTACTTTTGAAAATAAGTAATCAGTAAAGTAACGGGATTACTTTTTTGGGGAAGTAATCAGTAATTAGTTACTGATTACTTTTTTCAAGTAACTTGACCAACACTGGTCGCGGATAAATACAACAAAATAACAACTCACGGACCGGTACCGGTCCATGGCCCGGGGGTTTGGGACCGCTGCTCTAAAATGTCTCAATGCATGCTCAATCATCCAGATAAGTAAATCCCAATCCCATCATCCAGACGTAGCCTTTTCAGTGCGAGAAACGTCACACCTCATTGCTGTGATTGGTCAAACTTTGCTCCCTTCAGCGGGCTTCAGGTGGTGATGCAGAGGTCTAGAAAACAGACTGACTTACGTTTTAATATTACTTAAAAATGTCCTGTGGAATCTTTTTGTAGATAAACACAAGTTCACACAAAAAAAACCCCAAACTGATCAATAACTCCACTATTTAAAATGAGCTTATTTAAAGGATGTAAAATATGCTATTGTTATTGGTCACCAAGAGCCCAGGTGAGGGCAGTGATGGGTAAATACACATACATACAAAAGATCACGTACTCGTTTGGGCCCAATTAGCAGTTCTGTCATTTTCTGTCAATGAAAAACCGAATTTTGGACGAACTGTGGAGGTGATGCTCTGAATCTGTTTCAACATTAGATCCAGACTTCTCTTTAATTCTACGTTTTTTTTCACTCTCTGTCTCAAATGCCTGAATTGGCTCGTCACATTCCTCGCCATTCTCAACCCCACAGATGGACAGAAGGAGGGAGGCCGCCAGATTACATTAGCAGATCCTTGTCCTGTTTCTTTCTTTTTTTTATCCCCTCTTTTCATTTAATTTTCTATGCGTCTACCCGCCAAAGAAGGCCAACCCCGCTTCCCAAATCCCTTCTGCACATATAACAAGACTCTCCGCCTTTGGTTACCTCAGGTGACAATTTACAATTTAGACCACACAGAGGCTGTTCACGCACACACACATTGGCTAGCAAAGAATCCTTAGCATCCCGCCCCCCTTCTGCTGACCCCCTTAAAAACCCATTTTAATCAGGGAAGGAACTGTCTGCCCAGAGCAGCCTGAACACTTAATACCTCAAACAGGTTCATCTTGTTACCGAGCAAATAAATCCCGCTCACAGACACGCTGAGTTGAGACGTGGCTTTAGGAGGCCTGAGGGTGGTTTCTTTTGACTGCAGTGAAAGCATGCAGCGGCCGTGAGGCCCGATCCACCATCTCTGCTTTTGTAATATAGCCATGAATACAAATGGCCCCGCTAATTCACTCAAACTCCTAACAACGCTCATTTCCCCTCCTGCCAGAGGTCATTTGGCGCCGTGTTCCTCTCGCAGCTCCTTTTCCTCATTACATCTGCCTCCCGTGGGACTCTTTTTCCTAATCTTCAACAACTAAACATTCTCAAAATTGCGGCACGCTAAAGTTTCTCCCACTGCTGTTTAGATTTAACACGTGTGAAGTTTTATTTTTTTGGTGCCGGGCCCCGTTTCTTTTTTTGGGTTGTTTTCTGTGTGACCTCAGTGTCGTGTCAAGATCGGCCTCGGATCGCGAGCTCAGCTGGAGACAATCCAGACCTCTGGCAGCCCTGACAGCAACTTCCCAGGATCTGAGATGCTGCCAGGTCACTGTGGTGCCACCAGGCCTGGAGCCACGGCCGCAACCACAAGGAGTCCTAGAGTCAGACTTGGGGACCACAACAAGATGCTCGGCTACAG